TTTCTTTACGTCTCATTCTATACGAATATAATAGTTGTGCAAAATTAAAGATGATGCCGTCCGCAGAGCCATATTGTGTATATGTGCACTAAAACTTTTGAATTTATTTTTTATTTTTTATTTTTTATTTTGTATTATTACTGCCGGCACGGCAGCAAATTCAGCAGCTTTTAAATCTTGACTTGTTGGTCCGATTTTGTCGAGACAAATTCAGCTGCTGGTGGCTCTTTCTCTCTTTTTCTCCGCAATAGTACTAGCTGTTGATTATATGTTTCTCCTGTTGCGTTTTTATTGAGTAGGTCATCCAATAACAGAAATTAGTGATTTACACCAATATGTTATGCGGTTGCTGGGCAGTCAACCCCGGTTGTGGAGTAAATTAAGACACTATATAGAAAATATATTATGAGAATATAAATGACCCTTTCAAAGGCAGCGAAGACATACTGCCAGTTAGTCATACGCATGATAGGTTTGGGCATGAGGTTGCGGGTTCACGCACTCATTTCGAAATTATATAAAATATATCCATATTATGGATTTAGTTTGCAATTTTGATTATTTTTATAAGATCCCATGAGTCCTGATAAATACAATTTGAACTGTTATGCGGTTGCTGGGCAGTCAACCCCGGTTGTGGAGTAAATTAAGACACTATATAGAAAATATATTATGAGAATATAAATGACACTTTCAAAGGCAGTGAAGGCATACTGCCAGTTAGTGATACGCATGATAGGTTTGGGGTTTTGTCTTTTGTTAGAAGATGTTCAATTATTAAGCAGTGTCTCATGTTTCTCCCTTGTATTTTATGTGGTGACCACTGGGAGGTGGTCTGGGAATATAATTTTCTTTTTTGGTTTTCTTCCCTGACATGATGTATGTTGCAAAGCGAAAGTAAAAGTTTCACGCAAGTTCTTTGTGTTCTAACAGAAAAAGGTTCCGTGTCTTTATTTAAAATAAACACTTCTTGGCCTATGTTTTTTAGTTTTTTGTTTTTTTGTCTTTTGTTAGAAGACGTTAAATTATTAAGCAGTGTCTCATGTTTTCCCCTTGTATTTTATGTGGTGATCACTGGGAGGTGCTCTGGGAATATAATTTTATTTTTTGGTTTTCTTCCCTGACAGAAGATATGGTATGTTGCAAAGCAAAAGTAAAAGTTTCAGGCAAGTTCTTTGTGTTCTAACAGGAAAAGGTTCCGTGTCTTTATTTAAAATAAACACTTCTTTTATAAAGAACACTGCTTTCTCACATAACGCAGTGAAGCGGCCCGTGCATAGAATGAATAATCGATTCTCGAGCCATGGATATCAACCAATTCAGCACCACCGCAATGGACAGCAGCAGGGAGTTCTTGCCCAGAACAGAACCATACCGCCAATCCAAACTGTATGCTAATTATAAATAATCTTTGACGATAGTGGTCCTGACAGAAATGAAATAATGAAGAAAAAAATATATATAGATTTTTTTTTTTTACAGCATTTATTAATCTTGGTTAATATTTTACATATACTGTACATACTGTATGACATGTTGTATATATTAACATTAGTTGAGTAAACAAATATGAATTAACGATGACCTATAATATTGTAGCACAGTGCCTAAGTGGATGGCACTGTTGCCTCAAGGCAAGAAGGTCCCCAGTTCGAGACCTGTTTCTCCCTGTTTCTGTGCGAAGATTACTGTAAAGTGTTAATTACCCCATTCCACTAGAATGGTTTGCGTTCTGGAGCCAGAGCCTGTTCTCAGTTGCAAACCGGCTGTGTGTTTCTGTGTGAGGAACCAACAGTCACGTAATGTTGCTATGTGTTGTTTACTTGACTAGAACCAGACTAAAAACAAACATTGTGCATCCCGGTGTTTGTACAGGCAGTTCTGCACTTTAGTGCTGCTGTTCACAGTACAAGGAGTAATTCTAGCATACCAGCAGCTCGCATAAACTGCCAGCACTCTCATCCGTCCTTTTTGGAGATAAACTGAAACTGTTTATTTACCCGCTCTCTTTCACAAGCAGTCTCTCTCTCTTGCACAGTTCTATATATTTATATATTTTATATATTTGTATATATTATATATTTACAGAGCAATATATTTAGTTACTACATTGTTCAGTGGGAGTGACATAGACATTGACAACATTTCTCTGCCCCCCGCTCTCCTCCTGTGTGTATATATATATATATATATATATATATATATATATATATATATATACCTGTATATACTGTATATATGTTTTTATTTTTTTTCCTCAACATATCCTTAAATGGAGCTTGCTTCATCCATTCACTAAAAATCACCTTTACACCAGTTGCTCCTTTCAAAAATGGCTTCGAAAAATGAAGTTATGACTAAGGCTTTAGCAGCACTTGTTTGCAAATGTGACTTGACCATTTTGCCATCTAATGCCTTGACATTCATACATTTTTAAGTGTGACTCAATTTCTGAGTTTACTGTCTCGTGTGAATAAGACTGCTAAATTAAACATTGTAAATGTGGTCATGTAAAAATTCCAGGAGCCTGACAAAATGCCTCCGGCATGTTCTTCCCTGCAAGTGGAGTCCTCCTGCCCCTCTCTGTGCTCTCAGGGCCACTGGAAAGTCTCACTTGTAGCAAAAGACAGAGGTCACTCTGGACTGGCATCCATTCAGCTGGCACAAGGAGAAGGCACTCTCATTCTGTCTGAAGTGACTATGCAGAGAGGTGAAGAACATTTCCCACAGAATCATGAAGAGAACACAGGAGCAGTACACCTTCCATTGCTACAGCCACAAAAGGACACCTCAGAACAGCACTTTGGAACAGAAGCTGAACATGGACGTCAAAGGCTGGACGGAGTCCAGTTATTGAAGTGGGATCGTCCAGTAAATATCAGTGAATGGACTAAGGGGAAACCCGTAATGATGCGTTATTCCTCAGGCTGCTGTGGCCCTCATGCAGAGATAGTGCTGTGGGATAAAGCGGGTAATATGAGACGCTGTCATCTCAAAGCCAGTCAGCAAAGGGCTTTACGAGAAAACAACAGGGCGCACAGTGGGGTATCTATTTCTCGACTACTTCTCATGTTGTGGGGCCACTTAACATGGAGTACTATCTATGACCATAGATGAAATTTGCTTGACTTATTATGCAACTCTGTGTGGACACGAGAGTACATAGCATGCTTAAATACTAGTACACAGAAAACAAGAAATGTTACTCAGGGACGTTATATTCTATAAATGTTTAGGTCTTCACAGGATATTTGTATTATTCTGTCAGAATTTTTGTACAAACAAAAACTTTTAAACAAGTAAATCTAATATAATGATTTCAAGTTTTCACAATTAATAACATGCCAAACTGAGTGTTGTGTGCAATCCACTTTTTATTTTAGATGCCATAAAACTTCTCTGTTTTTACATGTCTGGCATATGTCTGTTCTTACCTCTTGGTTTTTAGTATAAAACAATGGTCCAGAGAAAGAAAATGAAGGTTACAGTCCCACTGGACAACACCACAATATTTATGGGTAGGAAATCCCAGGGTACTCCGGAAATCAGGTTAAGCGGCTTAACCGGGTAAATTTACTCGGAGTAAACTGATAACCTTAACTGGATTATCTGGATTGACCAAACTAATTCCAGACCACGTTTTTGGAACAGGGAGTAACTAAAGATTTGGGGTAATCAATCAAGAGTTCAGGGATTATATCAGGGTTTCTCAATCGACCAGTGTAGGCCTATAGACTGAGTGAATGATTCATGAATGACTACGGTGCAACAAGTCCAAATGACAAGAGTCCAAATGATTCACTGGTAGGAGTTGCTTACTTTTATTGAATCAAACATTAAATCAGTTTAAGCAGTTAGTGAATTAATCATTGAACCACAAATTATTACCTCATTGCATCTTTCCTCATGACTCAAAATGAAACAAGAACTCATGTTGCATATAAAAACACTGAGATATAAACCAGTGACAATTTTTGTTGTATGCAGGGGTAAGACCAAAGAGCCAGGGTGACTGAAACCAAGGTTTAAGAGTGTCTATAACATGCACACCACTATGACAACGACACTCCAAACACTTATATTAGTAGCTTTAAGGGTAGCTCAGAAAACAATGTAGAGTTTCCTCTCTCAGGTGTAGCTTTGGAAAGCCTAATTCATTCTAGCAAATAGTTTTTTCCTAAATGGTTCTCTCTCATACTGTATGTAGCTTTTGAAATGTTGACGTATTCTAGTGAATTGTTTCATCCAAACGGTCCTGTAAATAAACAGATTACAAAATTATTGGACGATGATTTGATGACTGATTTGAGTCCCTATATGGCATTCCAGCTCTCACCTGATTCAATTCATCAGCTCATTAATAGAAACTCCAAGAACTGAAATGAATGGGTCAGATCGGGGAGATATGCAAAATAAGTACTGTTCATGTGTCCCTGGGAACAGGCTTGTAGAATACTATACTCAAAATAGCTTGACTGTGGTTTAACTACTTTGAATTGCAAGAATAGGGACTTTGAAAGGAGACAAAGACCAAGATCCACCATACTTCACCACAGAAACTAAGGAATATCTTCACTTGGAGATTTCTGGCTTTGCCACCATTGGCATGTATGTAAATGTGCATTTATTTATTTTATTAATGTATTTATTTATTTTTTCTGGCTTATTTAATATTTAATTCAAAACATGGTTATATATATGGATGTTAGGACAATAATGTGGAACAGTGAATATTTCTGTGGTCTTGTTATTTTTCCCAAATTCAATAAAGAGTGCTAAGACATGAACTGAACCATCCAGCACTTTAAAAGAAAAGTACATGTTGTACATGATCACAAGAAAACAGTTAACAAGAGTTGAATGTTAATATACCTAGGTTTAATTGGAAACACAAGTTTTGCATTGAATGTCTTCCTAAACTGGAGGCTTTAGGTTTTACATATTGATTAATCAAACCTTGTTTTTAAAAAGTCACTTTGCATTATTTCACTTAGCCACTTTAATTGAATAATTTTGCCTACCTATTGCATAAAATTATAATATTATCAGACTTCTGTCTTTTCTGTTTCTTAAATAATGTAAACATGGTTGTCAGTTCAGCTGGGGAGGATCCGTCAATGAATAGCTTGACACATTTGTTTAAACTAATGCTAACCAGAATGCAGTACATCAACCACCACTCCAGAATTTGTGCAGCCTGGACATCAATGGAAACATGTGAAAACTGTGTGCAATGGACAGAATAGAAGGACAAACAGAGGAGAGAGGGTACTGGGTCAGTAAAGCAGAGTTTCTTCTGGCTGTGGCAGGAAATGTGGTTGGACTGGGTAACATTTGGAGGTTTCCATACCTCTGCTACAAGTATGGAGGAGGTATAAAACCAGATGCAATCTAAATACATAAAACACTCTCTCCCTTAGCATTCAGTCAGTGATATTTAAATAATATATTTTTTGCACTGGTGTGTTCCTGATACCCTACCTGGTGTTTGTGGTTACCTGTCGGGTGCCTCTGTTCCTGCTAGAGACGGCTATGGGACAGTACACACAGGAAGGGAGCATTACATGTTGGCGTCACCTTTGTCCACTGGCTGAGGGTGAGAGTCTTAAAAACTATCTCTTTATAAAAGATTTTTTTAAATTGTTTAAATTTTGTTCATCTTTTTCCATGCAAACACTTTTGTCATGCAGTTTTATACGCATGTCGCAGTGGCATTTATTTCATTATATCAGCTATTTCTTTTTCCCTCTTTTCTTTGTTAAATGAAAGTTATGAATATATTTTTCAGTAGAAAAAAACTTGTGGAAGAAACCATCTGGTTTAATGAATAATCAGTAGAAAGACAGAAAACTCAAAGTGCATAGTGTAATAGAAACCAGCATTCGTTTAAACTGGGTAAATCATCCTTTAATTCAGCCTGCGGTGGACATCCAACCCGGCCCACATCCAAGTGTGACGTCACGAACCACGCCCATGTCAAAATACGTCACAGTCTCATTCATTTTGAAACAGAAAGAAGCATCGATTCACCTCATAAAACACTGTTATGGAATAACAGTGATACCACTGCCAGAAATAAATCTTTATTTTTGCCCAGGTGGTTCCAAAATAATATTAACGCAATCCTCTCCTTATTTGATGAAACTGGTAACCTTTTTACTTATGAGCAATTTATGACTTACCACAATTTCCCGATTCCTCCAAAAGAGTTTAAAACAGTGGTTAAAGCAATCTCGCCTGGGTTAATTCATCTTGTTAAAAACCACTCCCCATATAATCAAAGAAGAACAGTCACAATACAATCTACTTTGTTCTTGGATGGAATTGATTTTTTAGACAAGAAATGTACCAATAGACATGTACGCCAAATCTTTCAATTCAAGAAAAAAATTTCTCCAAGAGGAAAGTTCTATTGGAGACGGGCCTGGCTTTTACCTGGAAAATACTGTATTTCCAATAAATTTTACATAAAATATATCCTGTAAACTCTAATATTTCTAAATATCTGGACATTGACAGTTCATGTGCTTTTTGTAAGTAATCAGAAGAGACATTTGCACATTTGTTTTATGATATCCAAGCAATTTTGGTCTGACCTTGGCTCCTATATATTCAATTCGGCCAATGTTACTTATTCTTTCAGTCTAAAAGACATTCTTTTTTATTATATTGATGATAAAAATAGACCCAGAGTATATTGTTAACTTCTTTATTTTATAGGGCAAATTCTTTATTCATAAACAAAAGTTTGCAAATAAGATTCCATCCTATCCCCATTCTAAAACTGAATTAATATCGCTTCTTAAATCTCTTAGTTGCATAAATAACAAAAAAATCCCAAAGATTTATAAAATATTATGAAGAAATGTTTAAAGAAAATACATGTATTTAAAAGCTTTCCCTGTATATTAATGTTTGTATGTTATTGTATCAATAGTGGTAATGTATGCATTCTTGTTTCTCCTTGTCTTGTCATCTTTTGTTTTTTGTATAATCCTTTTTTTTCTCTTTCTCTCTTTGTTTTATTATATGTATTTGTATGTAATTCCTTGACAATGTTCTTATGTTATTGAGCATTAATAAAAAAAAGAAAAAAGAAAGAAAGAAGCATCGATAAGAAGATAATTCGTAGATTTTAATGTTCCTTTAGGTAAAGGTGAAATTAAAACTATCATTAAGGAAAATGGTATTAAAGAATGGCAGGACATATGTAATATGATAATAAAGGAAGGCATTTATATATTATTTTTAAAAAATGGTTAATACTAAAAGAAGTGTAAGTGGTAGAAATAAAAAAGAAGAGGTTATAATAACTAGGATGAGACTTGGACACTCGGGATTGAACGCTTCACTGTTCATAACTGGAATACATGAGACTGGACTATGTGGGAATTGTGGGGAGAAAGAAACAGTGGAGCATGTATATAATTGTACAAGGTACAAGGAAGACAGAAAGGAATTAATATCATATTTAAACAAAAAAGGTAAGGTAAATAAGGATTTGGAATACTTATTAGGATATGAGTTTAACAGAGAAGGTTACAGGATATTACTAAAATACATATATACTACTGGATTAACTGAAAGGATTTAAATATAGAATGCGGATGCTCTATTCTATTCTGGATCTTTAGGAGACCACGGATTTAGTCTGGACAAGCTGAACACAGCACCAGGTGGAGCCTGGGGAGAAGGAATGGGATGGAGCATCGAATAATTATTTAAGTAGGAATATTTGTGTATATACGTGTGTAAGAACAGGAAAAGCAAAAACAAGGAATAAATTCATAATAAATAAACCATGACTGCATAACAGCAAAAGTAGGTGGCGATATGCACACAGGATGTAACACGCCAAAAACGGAAGAAGAAGATAATTCGTATTGTTTGCCAACCGCTAAAAAATATGTCTCATCTCTGGACTGTGACGGACTTGGGCTGTAGATGGAGGAGAGCTGAACACGCAGCAACATTGAAAGCACGAGTTCTGAATGGTCTGGGGAGTACAAGAGTGTCGCTGATCCATTACCACAGGAGATGGAGGTAATGCTCTTTTAAGAATGCGAACCGCCAATAAACTCGAAGAACTTGGGGAGGGTGGAACTGAGGTAAAGAGTTAAAGAGGGCTTAATAAAAGAATGGCAGAGAGGATGGGAAAAGGAAATCAAGGGTAGACATTATTTTTCTATTCAACCTCAAGTTAAGAAAATATGTTTTTGTACTTGTCCATCTCGTAGGGACTCTGTTAAACTGTGTAGATTGAGGTTGGGGCACTGTGGGTTAAATTACTTTTTGTGGGAAAAGCATATTTCTGGATTATGTGAATGTGGTAATATGGAAACAGTAGGGCATGTTTTATTGGAATGTAGGAAGTATAATGCAGAATAACTTTTTGATAAATTGGCAGAACTTGGAGTTAAAGTGTTTTCTGTTACTTCTTTGTTTGGACACAGTGATGAGCATAAACTGATCTTTGAGGCAACTCTTCGGTTCTTG